AAGGACTGCGGTCCCTCGGGCAGCGCCATCCAGGCGGGTGGCGAGTCCGAGCTCCGCGTACAAGGTACGACCCAGCGTAGCTTGGCTGAGGCTTTTGTGGCGCCTTGTCTGTGTGGTGCATAACTCATGGAGGTATGGCATGGCATGGCCTCCCTATAGCGAGTGCTGGTGGAAAGGTAAAGGCCAAACTGGGGAGAAAATGTGCTCTTGGTCAGTCCGAGCCTGGGGACTGCCTTACACGTGTAGAACGGTGAGATCTGCCGTGTTCGTGTGTTCTGAGGGGAGCCCTGAGGGGCGCCCTGAGGGGAGCCCGGCTGCCCCGAGGCTGCCGTGGAGCTGAGCTGGGAGGGCAGAGGCGAGCGTCTAGTGTGGGTGATGGGACGGGGCTTTGGCCCTGGGTGGTTCTTGGTGTAAATATAGGGTAAGATTTGAAGTAATGCTTCTGTGGTGTGAACTTGGACGTGTCGGGGATGCTGTGCGCGTGTCTGTGTTCTGAAAACTCCGCTGTCGCAGAGCGGAGGGTCGGCTGGTCTTCCCTGTCCGTAAGGGTGCGATGGCTCCTCGTACTGGGCTTCCCGCAGCAGCAGTCGAATCGAAGCGTTGGATGTGAGCTTGAAATTCTTGAACAGTCTTAGTGAGCTAAAAATGGAGAAAACAAATAGCTTCTGAGCTAGAGAGTCTGCAGTGAAGCAGCCATAACTTGCTGGAGAGGCTGTATATTCTCTGGCTCTTTCTCAGGATGGTTATTTGCAGTCTAGTTTTGCTCACTTGGAGACTCTAATGAACTATAAAAGGATGTTTGTCCAATTCATCTTCATTTAAATGCCTTCTCCTGACTTGGATGTCACTTTTACTTAGGAATGCTTAATTTGATAACCTGAGAATTAGTTCAGCCAATTTCCAAATGAGAATTCCTACCGCTGTGGTTTTTTGCCTGTCCACCCTCTAACGATAAGGAAGCCTCTTTCGGAGATACTGAGCTATGCACTTCCTTTAAAAGACAACGGCAGCAAACCCCATTTCTTAGTAAATATGCTCTTACTGCTTTGTGACGTCTGCTGAAAGGCAACAGAGCCCTTGGAATGAATACCTGCTGCAGAACTGGGTTCCCTGGGCATGGAAGAGTGAGAAGGCAGCAACAGAAAAATGGCCTGATAAAGAGTTATCTTTATTAACTGAACACCCTCCGCCAGCCAGCAGAAAGTATTTTTCATTTGGTGGTCTTCTGAAGTGAATTTAAGGCATCAGTCTGTTTAAACAGAGCTTTATTGTGCCAATTTGTCATTTTACCATCAACCCTCCAGAATGCGACAGGAATCTGTTATTTGAATGAGCCATGATGCCGAGTACAGAGTTAAATTTATCTCAATTAAAGTTAGCATTCTCTGTTACAAGAACATCACAAAAATAAACTTTCTCAGTCGATAGAAAGAATTTTGTTTTGCATTCAGCACGATGGCTGCGTTCCAGCTCACCGGGGCACTGTGTGTGGAGCTGCTTTCACCGTTCCAGGCCCCGCTTTACCCATGGGTGAAATCAGCATTTCTTACTGCTGTCAGTATTTTAGGATAAGATTTTTCTTGGCAAAATGCTGCGATACTTGACTGGGTTACTCTTTTAGAGCGCAGACCATTAACGTGGGTGAAAACGGGTAAGCTCATTAGATGCTCCGCCGTTGGAATAGCCTGTCCCTGCAATCCCGTAACGAACCGGAGCACTGCTGGAGTGCGGGAGCGGGCAGTTGTCCGTGACTGCACAAGCTGCCTTGCCAGCCCTCCACCTGAGCGCATCTCACGTGCGTCCCAACGCCGTGCGGAGGAGACGCTCCAGAAGCCACCGCCCGGCCCCTCTCCCGCTTGGCCCTCTCCTCTCCTGCGGATTTAGGTGGGGTCTGTCGCCCCCCTGGTCCCAGGGTGTTTGGCAGCGTGGCCTCGGGGTGAGAGTCCTCCTCTGGAGCTGCTGGTCCTTGGGGTTTGCCAGGGGCCTCGTCCAGGTTTCCCAGCAAACAGACGTGAAGCCACAGAGTTTTGTGCGTAGGAGGGGCAGAAGTTCCCAAAAGAGGTGCCTTTTTTTCCCTGTACTCGCCTGCACCTCGTTAGAAACCGCAGTTTGTCTTAAGGGTCCTCTACAAGACAGAAGGCTCCTGGGTTTGGGCTCCTGGGCGCACCAGAACACTCTGCTCGGCCGCCTGACGGCTGCTGTCCCCCCGCACCCAGAAGTGCCTTCCCCTTCCTCCCGGAGTGTGCTTGCCTCCTCTTCGTCAGTATGACAGGGGAGCGTGCTTGAGCTTCCTCCCCTGCCAGGCAGATGTCCGTTATAATGAAATGTAAAACAAAAAAAAAGGGGGTGGGTGGGTTGGGAATAATAAAGGCAGAGGAGTGTGGTGTTACAGCTTGATTTGACAGGACCTCCTGCTGCTGCAGCTGCCAGTGCCAGCCATGGAATAGATTAATCTGTATTCCAACACGCCACAGCTGAAGTCAAGATCGATCTAATTAGGGTGTTTTAAACACGGCTTGCGTTCTGAAGTCTTCGTGCCTGTCTGGAGAGGGAAGGGCTCCCAGGAGCCCGAGGTGGTCCTGCTCCACGCGGGACTCCGGCGCAGCGGGGTGAGCCCGTGCGGCGTGACCTGCCTGGAGCCGGGCGTGGGGGCGGCCCGGAGAGCTGCGGTGCGTGCTCCAGCCAGCCCGTGGGGCAGAAAACGGCGTTGGCTGCTGATAAGAAACGAGCCTCTGTCTTCCCACGCCCACGAATTTGTGAGATGTTGGGGTGTTTATAGGAAAATAGCTGTTCTTGGTGCATCCTGGCTGCCAGCTGATAGCCCTCATGGCTTTAAAGCAACCTGCGGTGGTGCGGAGCGCGGCTCGTTTGGGGTTTGCTTTTCAAAGGCAACGTATTTAGTGGTTCTTAGGAGCGGGAGCGAGGCAGCAGCTTCTGCCTCTGGCCCTGTCTGTTGCCCTCCCTGAAAATGATGCTTTTTGTGGGTGATGTGGGCTTTGGCTGAGCGTTGGCAGGATTATTGAGAAATTCCCAAAATATTCCGAGGCAGGCAGGCTGCCCGAGGCGGCGCCGAGGGCGATGTGCAGCTTGTGGCCTCTGTCTGTCAGCTGAGATCAAAGCTGGGCAGCTGCAGGTTCTGCTTTCTGAGCACCCGAAACGGCACCAGCCGCTATCCGTTTGCTAGAGAAGATCCAACCCGGAGCAAATATTGTGATTATGGACTTGAAAAATTTTGCACGTTTGAGAGAGATATTGGTGCAGTCTGTGGGAAAATGGCAAGACCCCCCCACAGCCTCAGAAACCTTCGCTCCCGGGTTAACGCCTCTCGCTTCTGATCGCTGGTGTAAATGCTTTAATCCCCTGAACAACGGATTAGCACTTCTCTCGCCCGCGGTTTGCCCTGGCTCGGGCTGCATGTGGATGATGGTGGTTATTGGGCCAGGAGCTGCATTACGGCATGATTGTGATTTGGGGGGGAGCATGAAGCACACTAGTGCGTTTTTTTTCAGGAAGCTGATCAAAAAGAAAGGTTTAGATAGTGCAGAAACATTTCTCTAAAGTATTTTTTTGAACATTTTGACCAGGCAAGCAAATATTTCCTGGATTTTCTGGAGTGATGTGTTTAAAAAGTAACTTCATTCTTAAAAAAACCTGTGTCAGCTCCTTTCGACTTCTCAGTAGTTTTAAAGATTTTATTGATGAAGTGGATAAATATCTGGGTATGAGCACCAAAGCAAAAATGATGGCTAAAATACATTTCCTAGTAAAGGAATGTTGGGAAAAAGCAATGAAGATATATCATTGGTGAGAATATTACTACTAAAATACTGTGTCAACACTTCTAAACGCTTCCAAAAAAAGAAGGTTTGGGAAAAAATAGCGTGAAATACAGAATGCTAGCTTCTTTCTCCAACAGCAGAGCATCTGTTGGGATGTATTTTTTTAAAAAAAGTCTTCATTTTGTTGTATTTTTTTCATCTTAATAGGATCTTGCAAGGACTTTGGAGGCTTTTGCAGTATTTTTTAATGTAGACACTTAATTTGGTGTCACTTTTTGTGGAATAAGTGTCTCTCTGCAGCGAGAGCGTGCGCTGACATACCCAGAGCCATCCTTCACCCCCACGTTATCCTGTCGAAATGACAGAGCAGCCACACGGTGCTGGCCACCCGATAAACCTGTTATCTCCCCTGCTCCTCCTGCCAGCAGCTCTCCCAATCTCTTTGGTACATGAAAAATTGACACCACCTCAGGCAGAAATCTGTTTCTAAGGAAGCCCCATTTATAAGTCGCTAATGAAACGGGGCGGGCGCGTGCGTGTGCGCAGCCTCTGCCGCGTGCTGCCCGCCTGGCGCCTGCCCACCGTCTGTGCCGCGGGGGGGGCGGGCACGGCGCACCGGGGTGGCTTCGCCTTCCTGCGGCCGCTGGCGGTTCGTGCAGAAGCTCCCTGCAGACCCGGCGGTGCCGCGTGTTCTTTGTGCGCTGGTGCAATCGATCAAGGCTCCTGGTGGCTCCAGGCGAGGCAGCGCCGTGGAAATGCATGTTAAAGTGGTTTGACGGCAGTAGGGCGATGGTCCCGCTCCTCCGCTGCCTTTTCCTCTCTGAAAATAACAAACCTTGACGCCCCTTCTCCGCTCCCCGCCACCGTGGGTGAGGAAACGTTTATGGACGTTATTTTTTGTCAGCCTTAATCAGCAAGATTACAGTGAGGGCATCTCGGAGAAGTTACAGTTTTGAATATATTGGGAGACCTAAAACATAAGGTCTGTGCTTAATGCAGGGCCACAGGCAGGGAGCAATTGCATCTGATTTGGCAAGGGAGAGAAACTCATGCCTCTGTCATTTGCCTGGTGCCTTTGTGCTTGATTTTATTTCCCGATATTAAAGCCATATACTCTGATGCTGCCAGCATCGTTTCTGGTGGTGGCATACGTTTGCAAACGGTTTGCATCTCTGCATCTCCGGCGATACCGGGGGTGCACAAGTGCGGTGTGTGGCTGCTCTGCTCCCCCTTCACAAGAAAAGGAGGGCGGACGCCTTCCCTGGGCTTCTTCCCTCGCCTCGTGCTGGCTCCCAGGGGTGAGGTGGTTCCTCCCCCCTGGAAACTCTTCATGGGCAAAATGGGAAAGAGCTGGAGCGTGAGAGTCGCGGATTGAGAGCTTGACTTGAAGTGTTTCAAACCCAGTATGATTTTAGAGAGAGAGAGAGTATATAAATTGCACATAAAACTGATGAATCCTTCTGAATAAACAAGGACAGGGAGGAGCACTTGGTTTGGTACTTCCCCGAAGTCTGGTACAGACAAATATTAGTGGTTAAAGAAGTGTTAGACACCCTATGTGAAAAAATGTCCTTTTGGAGAGGATCACGTTGCTTTCTGTCCCTCAAGGAGTGAAGAGCTCAAGGCCCCGTTCCGAAACACTGTGGTTTCACCAGCACTGGAACCCGGTGCTTTGTGCACCGCGTTGGTGAGGGACGGCGTGCGGGGGCGTGCTGGGAAGGTGTGCGAGGCGCAGGAGCAGTGATGCCCCGCGGCCCTTCGGTGCCTCCTTTGGTGGTCCCCTGCCGAGGGACAGCTGTGTTCCTGCAGAAGTTGTCCTCAGAGCTCGGTCCTGCTCTGCAGGAGGAGAGCAGCATTGCTGTGGGTTCGAGGCACTTGGGTCCATCGCGTTTCAGAGCGAAGCTGTGGTTGGGCGTTCACACGGACGTCTCTCGTGTGCTTGCCACGTGGACTTTTTACTTGGCTCCAAGGTTCGTGCTGCAAAATATGACCCCCAAGTGTAACTGGGGAGGCTGTAGAACATGTTGGTTTGGTCATTTCTGGTTTGTTGTGGCACATTCATATTCATTCCACGGGATTTTCTGTAAATAAAAGTGGTTTGTTTGAGGATTTTTCCCTCTAGCTAATACCAGTTAAGTCCCTGCAGGAGCTGCGTGCTGGCACAGTTATCCCTTTCTCAAGCTCCCCTGTTTCCATCACTGTCCCCGCTTTGGTATCCTGAGGGTCATTGGAGTGACGGTGCCGGCTTTGGCCAGGATCCCTCAGCCCCCTGGGAGGAGGCAGCATGCTGCGCCTTTAGCTGGGCCGGAGGGTGCCAAAAGGAGAGTGTGTGCGGCCAGGCCGGCGTGCCAGCCTGGGGAGGGGAACGGGAGCAGCGCTGGCGCTCTACGTAAGGGGCTTTTTTCAGGTCACCGAGGAAAAGCAGGACCAGTGCAGCAGGAGCGGTGCAGCAGAGCCGGGGGAGACCTCGCTGGCTGGGCTGCGATGGGCGAGGGGCGCTGTGCTCCCTGCCAGCCCGGCTTGCTGCCCTCGCGGCTGCTCTGCCTCCTCTCACCGGCGGAGGGAAGGAACCGGGGTTCCGCTTATCAGCAGCTACACGCGGGAGTGCTAGTAGTAAATTTAATGGCATGTTACAGAGAAAATAAGCTCCTGTTCCCGATCTCAGCATGCAATTTCCATTTTGTATCTCTAGAACATGTCTGTTCCATCCTGGCCTCCCTTCTGCGAAACCTGAGAGGGCAGCAGAGGACACGTTTACTGAATAAATTCACAGAGAATGACAGTGAGAAGGTGAGTGCTGAATGTGTGTCTGCAGCCTGTGGGCTACCAGGGTGGGAGGATACGTGGTAGGGGCAGGGTGCCCGTTGCTGTACCTGCCTGTGGAGACCCGCACCCTCGCAGGCTGTCGGTCTCTTGTTCGTGTTCGCATCTACAGACCGGAGAGCCGGAGCGCTTGGCCTCCTGCAGCCACGTGCTGCTGTTGTCTGGTGCTCTCGCGCGTGGTAGGAGCGGTTCTCGGTGCTGGGTTGTGTCTCTGCTGACGCCTGACCGCAGAACACGTTGTGCGGTGGCCCGTCGTGCTGGCTCTGTGAGAACAGGGCAGTGTGGAAAGGTGCCGTTGTTTCTAGCGAAGCTCTTCTGCAGAGAGTTTAGGAATTGCCACAGTCCACATTTAACGTTCCCCCCCTCCTCTCCTGGCGTGTGTCACTTCAGTGGTGTTTACTCTGGGAAATGCTTTCCAAACTATCTAGGTGGTGGTGGATAGATCAAACAGCTGCGAAACAGAAACAGCAGCTTTTGCAAACCAGTAATCCTGAGGGATTTGTAAATTCCGCCACTGGGGAAATACTGGTTCCTTAGGAGTCCTCATTAGTGTGTTTTGAAGGTGTTTTCATAACCCGTTCTAGCAATTGCAGAAAGTTTCCCATTACAGGGTAAGCTTTCAGTTGCCTAACACAGTTCGGGGGAGAGGAGAGCCATGACATGTCTGGTAAGTTTAACACGAGCTTGGCTGCCCGCAGCGTAGACAGAAAGGTCCGTTGAAGAAACCAGGAGAACTGGAGAACCGCAGCGCAGGAGAGCAGGCGAGCTAGGGCCGCGTGTTTGTTCGCTGCCTTTCAGCTGGAGCTGCTGAGACCATATTGTGCTCTGGGATTACATTCAAGTGCCTGCAGACGCAGCGTGCTCATCCGGCCAGCGCTCGTACCCTCTTTCTCTAACGTGTTCCTGTGAGTGGCAGAATTGCCTGTTATTTCATGAAGACTGCAGCTGGGAGGAAGACAGAAGAGCGTGAAGGATTAAAGATGATTGCGTTGTTCTTTTTTCTTGCTTAGGTCTCTCTCTTCTGCCCTTGCAGGTTGATAGGCTGATGGAGCTGTATTTTAAGTACTTGGATGCAATGCAGGCAGCTGATAAGAAGATCGATGGAGAGAAACATGTATGTATTGCCTAAGTTTTGCCAGCTCATGTCTATAATACCCCTGTGCACAGCTTCTGGCTCAGCCAGGTCACTCTTCTGAGCTGTGCCCTCACACCCATGCTGTTACCTCTTAATTCTTGCTCTCCAGCTTCCAGTTAACCTCAGATAAAACGGGCTGAGAACTTCTCTGCAGCAAGTGCTTCCAGCCTTTTCTTAGAGTGAATTTTATGAGGAGGGCCTAAGTCTGCGCTTCAGCTTGCCTTCGCTTTTACTTGGCTGCAATCTTGCTTGGTTTGGCAGATGGAGAGTAAGTGAAATGCAGAGACAATTACATGATAATGTGCGAGGCCTCCTGCCCTGGTCTTTAGAGTTCTGATCAGCTGCGAGAAAGCGTCTATTTTGATTAGTGAGATGGGGCTGCAGCCGAAGGCTGGCGTGCTCTCTGCGCACCAGCAGCGAGTCGTTAGAACGACACGAGCCTTGGTCCCACCCCGTACTTTCTTGGAACTGAAGCTGGAACAGACTTTTTGAAAGAGAACGAGCTGCTGGAGTCAGGAAGCAGCTTGCAGAGCTGTTAGTGAGCTTGGCCAGCTTCCCACAAGATTATCTGTATCAGCGCTGAGGAGGGTGTGAGATTGATTAGCACTGACGGAGAGTAATCACTGCAGCCGCCATCCCCGCACGTGGGCGAGCTCAGCGTGCTGGGGGCTGCAGC